ATACACATATCACCACAACTATTGCATACAAAATGCAAATGCAATTGGGTCAAAATAAATTTGTCACTATTGTCGAACGTTTTAATGTATCGCAACAGCAAAAAAATACATTTTGTCGTATGATACAAATAAAATTTTTGTTAAACAATTTTCAACCGAAGCCATTGGACTACAGTACGTGTACGTGATTTTTGTAAATATAGAGGCTTGCACAGTTTGTTAGTCGTAGTTTTTTTTTGTGGGCAGTTTTTGCTAAATTGGGTGTTTGTTGCAAATAAAAAATTGCCACAAATATATCAGAACTAAACTATTTTTAGCCATGGACACTTTTACACATGTATAGATTAATATATGCAAGTTTGTGTATGTGTGTGTGATTTAAAAACATGTACTATCAAAATCAAATAAACAATGCAACAAAAACTCTAACTTTCAGTTGCATGTATTTATTTGAAAAATACTTTAGAATACATACATACATACATACATACATACATACATACATTTATATGTATGTATATTGAAAATGTTAGTATTTTTAGGCAGCTGTAGTAGTGGTGTTGGAATGGTGGAGGTTTTAATTTATTTTATTACATTTTAGCAATTTATCAAATTGCATTTCATCATCACTGACACATTGAGTTTGTGTGTGTTGAAAACAAGGCAAATATTATAACAAATACGACTGTTAAATTCGTATAAATTTAAATACAGCAGAGTTGTACGACTAGAACTGAACTAGATCTAACCTAGAACTGAACTTGAACTAGAACTGAACTAGAACTGAACTAGAACTGAACTAGAACTGAACTAGAACTGAACTAGAACTGAACTAGAACTGAACTAGAACTGAACTAGAACTGAACTAGAACTGAACTAGAACTGAACTAGAACTGAACTAGAACTGAACTAGAACTGAACTAGAACTGAACTAGAACTGAACTAGAACTGAACTAGAACTGAACTAGAACTGAACTAGAACTGAACTAGAACTGAACTAGAACTGAACTAGAACTGAACTAGAACTGAACTAGAACTGAACTAGAACTGAACTAGAACTGAACTAGAACTGAACTAGAACTGAACTAGAACTGAACTAGAACTGAACTAGAACTGAACTAGAACTGAACTAGAACTGAACTAGAACGAACTAGAACTGAACTAGAACTGAACTAGAACTGAACTGAACTAGAATGAACTAGAACATGACTAATCAAATCAAATAAACAATGCAACAAAAACTCTAACTTTCAGTTGCATGTATTTATTTGAAAAATACTTTAGAATACATACATACATACATACATACATTTATATGTATGTATATTGAAAATGTTAGTATTTTTAGGCAGCTGTAGTAGTGGTGTTGGAATGGTGGAGGTTTTAATTTATTTTATTACATTTTAGCAATTTATCAAATTGCATTTCATCATCACTGACACATTGAGTTTGTGTGTGTTGAAAACAAGGCAGATATTATAACAAATACGACTGTTAAATTCGTATAAATTAAAAACAGCAGAGTTGTACGACTAGAACTGAACTAGATCTAACCTAGAACTGAACTTGAACTGAACTAGAACTGAACTAGAACTGAACTAGAACTGAACTAGAACTGAACTAGAACTGAACTAGAACTGAACTAGAACTGAACTAGAACTGAACTAGAACTGAACTAGAACTGAACTAGAACTGAACTAGAACTGAACTAGAACTGAACTAGAACTGAACTAGAACTGAACTAGAACTGAACTAGAACTGAACTAGAACTGAACTAGAACTGAACTAGAACTGAACTAGAACTGAACTAGAACTGAACTAGAACTGAACTAGAACTGAACTAGAACTGAACTAGAACTGAACTAGAACTGAACTAGAACTGAACTAGAACTGAACTAGAACTGAACTAGAACTGAACTAGAACTGAACTAGAACTGAACTAGAACTGAACTAGAACTGAACTAGAACTGAACTAGAACTGAACTAGAACTGAACTAGAACTGAACTAGAACTGAACTAGAACTGAACTAGAACTGAACTAGAACTGAACTAGAACTGAACTAGAACTGAACTAGAACTGAACTAGAACTGAACTAGAACTGAACTAGAACTGAACTAGAACTGAACTAGAACTGAACTAGAACTGAACTAGAACTGAATTAGAACTGAACTAGAACTGAACTAGAACTGAACTAGAACTGAACTAGAACTGAACTAGAACTGAACTGAACTAGAACTGAACTAGAACTGAACTAGAACTGAACTAGAACTGAACTAGAACTGAACTAGAACTGAACTAGAACTGAACTAGAACTGAACTAGAACTGAACTAGAACTGAACTAGAACTGAACTAGAACTGAACTAGAACTGAACTAGAACTGAACTAGAACTGAACTAGAACTGAACTAGAACTGAACTAGAACTGAACTAGAATTGAACTAGAACTGAACTAGAACTGAACTAGAACTGAACTAGAACTGACTAGAACTGAACTAGAACTGAACTAGAACTGAACTAGAACTTGAACTGGAATACAAAACTTTTTGCAAATATTTTGATGCTGAGCCATAGGTGAGTCATTCTTTTTATTATGTTATTAAATCGTGAACATATTTTCGTCTACACCCTGTTTGGTTTATTGGTTTTGTTGTTCTATTTGATATAAAGTAGTTAAAATATCTAAATGTTGGCGGTATTTTAAACGGTAGTTTTGTCCATATGACTCTCATATACAGGAAAATAAAACTTATAAAAACAAATACATATTTACATTTGGTATGTATGCATTTCCGCAGATGATTCAATGCATATTTTGTATAATTTAATATGTCGTTCGCATGTCCAAATGCTGCATATGTTTCGTATTTTCATTTCAATAAATTTCCAATATAAATCATATTTGGTGTTGCACTACCACACACAGCGAGTTGGGTATTTTATTTAAATTTAATTCAAATAAAGATGTGTTTGACTTATTTTTTTGGTGGCAAATAACAAAAAGAAGAAAATTAAAATGATTGCTGGCAAAAACATTTTTGCATAAAATTTTTTAACTAATTCAATTAAAATATGATTGAGTGTAAAAAACTATTTTTGTCCCAAAAAAATTAAAGAACAAATAATATTAATATAAAAAATTTATGAAAACATATTTCCATCAAATACTCGTTATATGTGCAGTGAAATGTAAATGTACTTAACCATGTGGGAGAAATGATATAAAACTGAATAAAGGATGATATTTTATTTTAAAAGGACTAAGGTATATTTTTTAAAATATATTTTAATATATAAATTGAATACATATTTTTATGTAAATGATCAAGAGTGGTCATCTGGGAAATTTAAATTGTGAAAAAAATTTTATTAATTTAATGAATATTTTAGAGTTTTTGGTAAAAATTTTAATTAATATTGAAATAGTTTTGATTTTTTATTTGCTACGACTAGGCTATGACTAGACTATGACTAGATTATGACTAGACTATGACTAGACTATGACTAGACTATGACTAGACTATGACTAGACTAGACTATGACTAGACTATGACTAGACTATGACTAGACTATGACTAGACTATGACTAGACTATGACTAGACTATGACTAGACTATGACTAGACTATGACTAGACTATGACTAGACTAGACTAGACTATGACTAGACTATGACTAGACTATGACTAGACTATGACTAGACTATGACTAGACTATGACTAGACTATGACTAGACTATACTAGACTATGACTAGACTATGACTAGACTATGACTAGACTATGACTAGACTATGACTAGACTATGACTAGACTATGACTAGACTATGACTAGACTATGACTGACCTATGACTAGACTATGACTAGACTATGACTAGACTATGACTAGACTATGACTAGACTATGACTAGACTATGACTAGACTATGACTAGACTATGACTAGACTATGAACTATGACTAGACTATGACTATACTATGACTAGACTATGACTAAGACTATGACTAGACTATGACTAGACTATGACTAGACTATGACTAGACTATGACTAGACTATGACTAGACTATGAAGACTATGAAGACTATGACTAGACCTATGACTAGACTATGACTACTATGACTAGACTATGACTAGACTATGACTAGACTATGACTAGACTATGACTAGACTATGACTAGACTATGACTAGACTATGACTAGACTATGACTAGACTATGACTAGACTATGACTAGACTATGACTAGACTATGACTAGACTATGACTAGACTATGACTAGACTATGACTAGACTATGACTAGACTATGACTAGACTATGACTAGACTATGACTAGACTATGACTAGACTATGACTAGACTATGACTAGACTATGACTATGACTAGACTATGACTAGTCTATGACTAGACTATGACTAGACTATGACTAGACTATGACTAGACTATGACTAGACTATGACTAGACTATGACTAGACTATGACTAGACTATGACTAGACTATGACTATGACTAGACTATGACTAGACTATGACTAGACTAGACTAGACTATGACTAGACTATGACTAGACTATGACTAGACTATGACTAGACTATGACTAGACTATGACTAGACTATGACTAGACTATGACTAGACTATGACTAGACTATGACTAGACTATGACTAGACTATGACTAGACTATGACTAGACTATGACTAGACTATGACTAGATTATGACTAGACTATGACTAGATTATGACTAGACTATGGCTAGACTATGGCTTGACTATGACTAGATATGTATATTTTCATATGTTTTTCAATATACGTATATTGGCCTCAAAAAAACTCAGGATTATATGTATGTATATATTCTTGTTTCTTTCTCTTTTACAAAATTATTTCATTCGTCCCAAAAAATAAATAAAAAGGATATCATTAAAATATTTATTTAACTTCTTATTTTTGCTGTACTTAAACAAAAGCAACAAAAACTAGCAATACAAAAGAAATAAGAAACAAGTACTTACCGGCACCATCACGCCACTCTTCAACACCATAGTCGGGCAAAGAATTTGAGTCTAATTTATTTTTATTACGACGCTTGCCATCTTTTATTTAAGTTTTTTTGTTTTTTTAATATTATTTTACAGTTTTTTTTTCATTCATGCATTTTGCCAGGATACAGATGTTGTTTTTGTAGAGAAATTGTTGTTGCATGGTGGTGTTTATTTGAAATTATTTTATTTAAGGATTGTTGAAGTAATAAATGTGAAAAAATATTAAAAACAGCAATAAGAAAACAAATGAACGACGACAACAAAGACGACGTTGTTGACCGCACACAAATAAACAGTTTATGGTAGGAAATACACAGATACGAAATTTTATAATGTTAACCAGAGGAAAATGGGGAACAAGTATAATTTTTTTCAGCACAAGTAGTTAGTAAAAGCAGTAGTTGAAGTTTTTTGTTGTTGTTGTTATATATTCAAGAACATTACCACCATACACATATAATACACAAACAATTTCACCAGGAAACGGAACACATTGATGAATGTTGTTGGTATTAGTAGACAGATGTTTGTTATTTGTTTGTTGTTTTTTTATGGTTGTTAGCAAGGTTTATTTTTTATATTTTTTTTTGGTAGGCGGGCCATTAAGGAAATAAATAAATATAAAAAATTATATTTTTTTGGACAAAAGAAAGATAAAAAAGAGAAGGAGAAAAGAAGAAATAATTTTTATTATTTTTAAGCCGGTTTTCAAAGAAATCTTTAGTGTTATTTATTATACAATAATTTTAAAAACATAATTTACGAGGGTTGTACAATAAATTTTGTTGAAAGAAGCTAATTGAACGCAGTGTATCGTATAAAGAAACAATGAATTTTCAGCCGGACTCTGCCAAAGGAACTTGGATAGAAAAATTTTCAATTATATTTTCTGTGGCAACAAGAATTGAACTAGAACTGAACTAGAACAGAACTAGATCTGAACTAGAACTGAACTAGAACTGAACTAGAACTGATCTAGAACTAGAACTGAGCTAGAACTGAACTAGAACTGAACTAGAACTGAACTAGAACTGAACTAGAACTGAACTAGAACTGAACTAGAACTGAACTAGAACTGAACTAGAACTGACTGAACTAGAACTGAACTAGAACTGAACTAGAACTGAACTAGAACTGAACTAGAACTGAACTAGAACTGAACTAGAACTGAACTAGAACTGAACTAGAACTGAACTAGAACTGAACTAGAACTGAACTAGAACTGAACTAGAACTGAACTAGAACTGAACTAGAACTGAACTAGAACTGAACTAGAACTGAACTAGAACTGAACTAGAACTGAACTAGAACTGAACTAGAACTGAACTAGAACTGAACTAGAACTGAACTAGAACTGAACTAGAACTGAACTAGAACTGAACTAGAACTGAACTAGAACTGAACTAGAACTGAACTAGAACTGAACTAGAACTGAACTAGAACTGAACTAGAACTGAACTAGAACTGAACTAGAACTGAACTAGAACTGAACTAGAACTGAACTAGAACTGAACTAGAACTGAACTAGAACTGAACTAGAACTGAACTAGAACTGAACTAGAACTGAACTAGAACTGAACTAGAACTGAACTAGAACTGAACTAGAACTGAACTAGAACTGAACTGAACTAGAACTGAACTAGAACTGAACTAGAACTGAACTAGAACTGAACTAGAACTGAACTAGAACTGAACTAGAACTGAACTAGAACTGAACTAGAACTGAACTAGAACTGAACTAGAACTGAACTAGAACTGAACTAGAACTGAACTAGAACTGAACTAGAACTGAACTAGAACTGAACTAGAACTGAACTAGAACTGAACTAGAACTGAACTAGAACTGAACTAGAACTGAACTAGAACTGAACTAGAACTGAACTAGAACTGAACTAGAACTGAACTAGAACTTAAGATGGTGTGTTGTGAAAATGTGTGAAAAATTATTGTTGGACAAACAAAAACTAAAAGAAAGGAACAAAATTATAAAACATCACAAAATAAAAAAAAAATACATAAAATAAAGCGAACATTAAAAAATTGTGCAAAAAAAACAAGTGCAAGGATCTGTTAAGAAACAAACAAAAGGATTTGGTGTTCTGTTTTTCAGAAATAATTTAAAAATAGTTTATACAAAGAAAGGATAGCAGAAAATGTATGAAACAGACAAATAACATTTTTGAACAAAATTATAGCAGTAGACAATTATTATTCCAGAAGGAATTACATTGAGTGCTATAGTTGCGTGGAACACTGTAAATTTAACATATTAAGGAAAAACATAGAAATGTGATAGTAAGTAGTAGTAGTGGAAGGAGTTTTAATTGAATACAAGTGCTTATGCTGCTGATTTTTTGCTGTTTGTAAATATTACAAGTATTTGCATGGAAGCCAAATCTAAAAACAATGTAAGGTGCAGTTTTATTTTATATTTTAATCCAGTATTGGCATAGTATGGCATGGTTTGGCGAAGATGATGATGATAATAATGATGATGACGTTGATGTTATTGGTGTTGGTGGTAGTAGTGATGGTGCTCATAATGAATTTGATGATTCAAATTATTTTTTTTAAATTTTTTTCATAGTTTTATTATTCTTTTTTTTTGAGTTTCTCATTTTATTATTATTTTTATAATATTAAGTGCTTGTTTACAGGAGGTAGATTATTAAGTTGCATTAAGGAATAGAATAAATACTTAAAGAAAATAAGTGATTTTTTGTTTGTTTTAATGCAAATGCAAATTTTATACAAAAAGGCAAATAATGAAAATGGGAATATGAATTAAAAAGTCTAACAAAATAATAGTTTTAAAAGGTATTTGTTTGAATAACGAATGAAAATAAACGATATATATAAGAAAGTTGTCGTATGTATAGATATATATATATATATAGACGGACAGACTTGATAAGATTGAGTTCTAAAAAATCACAAAATTTAGAATTTAGCTTACTACTAAATGAGATTTTTATATATAGTGCGTATACGCAATATTTAAAATTGAATATTTATCATACGCACTGGTTGAAGAGAAAACAAGTTCCTTATGTTTTTGTTCATTTCTTGATTAAAAAAAGTACTTTTGGTTTAAGTTTTGCTATGTATTCTAGTAAAAAGATAACATTATGTTCAGGTTCTAGTCTGAGATTACATTCACTTTTTATTTAAGGATGAAAATTTCATCTTCATAGGTTCTTTTGCTTTAGTTCTATTATATCTTTAACATACTGATATTACGATGGACAGACTTAGTTAGATTGAGTTTTACACAGTCACATATTTTAGTGCGTATACGCAATATTTTAAATGAAATATTTATCATACGCACTAGTTGGATAGAAAACAAGCTTTTTTTTGTTAATTTCTTGATGTAAAAAAGTACTTTTGGTTTAAGTTTTGCTTAGATCCTAGACTGAGATAACACTCCCTCTTTCTTTTCCATTGTTACTAGTTTCTCTTTAGAAATAGTGAAGCAAAATATATGAAATAAATATTAATCATACGCATAGTAGTTTCAAAAAGAAATTGAAACTACTATCCTTTTCGATCCACATGTTCTAAATATAGTAAAATGTATAAAATCTATGCAAACCGGTGTACTGTCGAATGAATCAAATAGTGACTTTCACTTAAAACTGCAGGTAAATAGAAAAGAGTACAGTCCGATATAACGTCTGTCCGTCCTTTCATATAAATTATCTTTACCCAATGATGAAACCTTATATAATCGAAATCGTTCCATAAATGAAAACCAATCACACCTTAACGCCTTAATGTTATATTTACTCACTTGCTAAGCTTGATATAATTGTTGTCGATTGCCTCTTAACCTTTTCTAATATAAGTAGATTTATGCTCATGTGAAACCAATTAGCACGATATCATATGATACCTTAACTAATATTTCTATATGAGGAAAGTTCCTGAATAGACCATTAGTATTTTATACAAGCCGAAATCTCAGCTAACTGAAGGTATTTTTCAGAACAAATAAATAACTTGTAATGTCATAATGACCATTGTTATAACGTCCTATTTTTGGCATCATTTGAAATTCCTTTCGGGATCTGTATGAAGTTTGATGGAGAGATCTATAACAGCTTCCATACAATGTTAAGTTAATGTTTTTATTGAAAATACAAACTGCTTTATTCATTTACTTGAAAAACTGACTATTAATCGTATAGTTTGTGTTCTAAAGCAGTAACCAACCCGAGGATCATTAAAAAACAAACCTATTGGTAATAGTCAATAGATTGAAGCATCAATAATCTGTTATAGTTAGACACTATTCGATTATTAGAGACCTTCAGTGCAATAATATCAGGTTAGGTTATGATTTATTTCAAATACAAAATCTTGAATGAACAAAAGAGAATCGGAGCAGATATGGACAGCATCTCAGTAAGTTTAACCTGCCCTGTACCTTTTATATAAAAACATAAGAGAAAAATTTAACATCAAATCTATTACACTCTGGGACAAGGCAGCAAATGAAGACACTTTGGAAAGAGATAGATGAAAATACATCGAAGGCTATTTTTAGTAAAAACAACTCTTGGTGATGGAGATGCAATTAGGAGAATATTTTTCACTTCCTCTGCCAATGACTTTTATTTCATTTAGGTCTTGTAGAGAAGACCTGATTGAAAAGAAAAAGAAAGATATTAAAGATTACAGAACAGTTCAAAGAAAGAACTCAGAGAACTTACTATAAATCTGATAATTGGCATTGTGAACTGACGCAACTCCTCCTTATATCTAAATTTATAAAGATAATATAGTGCATAAAACTAAAACTCTATGAAATTAGGAATTAAGCTGCAGTAGGATATTAAGCATCAGTAGGAACTGTTAAACGTGATACTATGAGGACTTATTATGAATCAGATACTTGACACAACTTCTGTGGTCTTCCTTATATCTAAAGTATGCAAAATGACAATTGAGTTTCACTGTCATGCATTGACAAATCTTTGATTTGAGAAGCTTGCAAATCAAGATAAGATGATCTAATAAATCTTTTCTTCTTGTTCTATCATTCAGTTGGACTATATTTTTGGCAGACTTTAATCCTTAATGATAAAGCTAACCTTTTAGCTGAGTTATTATTGATTGCCGGAAAGCGATTAACCGATCGACTATGCAAAATGTATTCTTTCGGGTTTTAGGGTTTTAACGGATCAACAAAAATAAGTCTCCTGGATCAGATGATATACCAGCACTGGTTTCAAAAAAAGTGTTCTTTTAGCTCCTACATTAGCTAATCGTTTCAGTATTCAATATTATGCCGGCAAATTTCGTGCATGCTGAAAGATTGCTAATGTAACATTAATTCCCAAAAAGGAAGACGCTAATAACTCTAAAAATTATCGCCCAATAGCAACCTGTTCAGCACTTTCTTAAGAGTGAAGCTACCTATCGGTGACTCTATTGATTCACATGAGCACCGCCGCAACATGGCTGTATTTCACTGTTCTGTTGATATTACAATGGAAGGTGTTTCTCAGAAATTATTTAACTTGTTCAAGATACCCACGTCTTCAATTGATACTACTTAACCCATTACAGCGATGATAAACATCTGCAATCTGAAATGAATGTCAAGGAACTAAGGTAACTAAATCTAGAATCTTCCCTAATAGCTTTTATTCCTACCACACTATCATACAATTGCTTAACTGTCCAATGATTTGCAATGGTTAAAATACAAAAAAATTTTTTAATTCTCTCTTCAAACTTCATTAGACATCATAACGTATACTTGATATTTTTAATAAAATATTACGTATACGCCTAGTTATATGATAAAATCAATAAGAAATCTGTTAATATATATGCAAAATATTTATAAACAACTATTTCAAAACTTTGTTCTGAAGAATTACATACGTATCATAAGCTCGCTGTGAATGTGAGTAAACAACAGAGCGTATACTTAACATATAAAATTACATACTAAGTATACGCGGTGATGTACGGTAAAATCAAAAGGAAGCAATATTTTGTTAAAAAAAATTAAAAAAAAAACGAAATATTAAAGTTTTTACTAAATTAATTAATTACAATGAATGTGCAATGTGCTGTAATAAATAACTTAAAACTTAAACAGGAAAAAAAAAAATCCGCAAAAAATTAGCTTTTTAACGAAACGAAAATAAAACGTTAACTGTAAAATCAATATTTAATTCCATTAATGAATCATGTTCATTTGTATTTAAACAGAAAAAATATTGAAGCAACTTTATTTAATAACATTGACTTTTTGTAAGCTATTTTTTTGGTATTTCAAGCAAAAAAGCATTAACTTTAACGTACAAAAAGTATAAAGAATATAGTAAATTCGGTGAAACATTTAAAATAATATATAAACCATAAAGAATAAAAAGAGAAAATATGAAATTACTTTTTCGGCTGAACATCGTACCTAGACTGCGATTCAACATGGCCATTTCGGATAAAATTGCAGTGGTGGGTGCTGGCATTTCTGGAAAGAAAGGAAAATAATATTATAAGAAAAATATAATTAAATTTATATAAAATTATGGAAAAATTTATTTTAAATGTTATGACTATATGTAAAGTAGTTTATGTTTTTATCACAAAAATCACACACAATTGTTTTATAGAAAATTTTTCGATAGTCCTTTCAAAAGTTCTGACTTTAGACTAATCTATAGTCTTGCCTATAGATTAATCTATAGTCTTGCCTAAAGATTAATCTATAGTCTTGCCTTTAAGTAAGTCTATAGTCTTGACTATAGATCAGTCTATAGTCTTGACTATAGATCAGATTAATGTATTTACTAAAGATTAGTCTATAGTCATGTTTATTGATCAGCCTATAGTCTAAAGATCTCTGTTTTCTTGTCTTGACTATTGATCAGTCTATAGTAATGACTGTAGATACGTCTATAATCTTGTATATGGATCATTCTATAGTCTTGAATATAGATCATTCTGTAGTCTTGTCTATAGATCAGTAAATAGTCTTGACTATAGATCAGTTTATTGTATTGACTATAGATCAGTCAATAGTCATGTCTGTAGATCAGCCTATAGTTATGTCTATAGATCAGTCTTGACTATTGATCAGTCTATAGTATTGACTGTAGATCCTTCTATAGTCTTGAAAATATATCATTCAATAGTCTTGAATATAGATCATTCTGTAGTCTTGTCTATAGATCAGTCTATAGTCTTGACTATAGATCAGTTTATTGTATTGACTATAGATCAGTCAATAGTTATGTCTGTATATCAGTCTATAGTTATGTCTATAGATCAGCCAATAGTCTTAACTATAAATAACAGTCTATAGTCATGACTGTATATTAGTCTATAGTCATGACTATAGATCAATCTATACTATTGACCATATAGATAAGTCTTGACTATAGATTAGTCTATAGTCTTGTCTATAGATCAATCATAGTATTCTCTATAGATCTTGTTTATAGATCAGTCTATAATCTTGCCTATAAATCAGTATATAATCTTGACTATAGGCCAGTATACAGTCTTGACTATAGATCCGTCTATGTTCTTGACTATAGATCAGTCTATAGTCTTGACTATAGATCAGTCTATAGTCTTAACTATAGATCAGTCTATAGTCTTGACTATAGATCAGTCTATAGATCAGTGTACAGTCTTGAATATATATCAGTCTATAGTCTTGACTATAGATCATTCTGTTGTCTTGACTATAGATCAGTCTAGAGCCTTTACTATAGATCAGTCTATAGTCTTGACTATAGATCAGCCTATAATCCTTACTATTGATCATCCTATAGTCTTTACTATAGATCAGCCTATAGTCTATACTATAGATAAGTCTATAGTGTTTACTATAGATGAGTCCATAGTCTTGACTATAGATGAGTCCATAGTCTTGAGTATAGATCAGTCTATAGTCTTGTCTTTAGACCAGACCATGGTCTAGACTTTAGATCAGTCTATAGTCATTTCTATAGATCAATCTATATTCTTGCCTTTAGACCAGTTCATAGTCTTGACTATAGATCAATCTATAGTCTTGTCTATAGATTAATCTATAGTCTTGTATTTGGAATATTTCCTTCAAATTTTCTAAACCCCTTGTATTTTCAAACGAATTTTTACACAAAAAATAGGAAACTAACTAAACAAAAGGAAATTGAGACAAAATTTAATGGAATGGAAATAAACTGAAAGTTAATTAATGTTTAAAATATTAAATAGAAAAGAAAGCGAAAAAAATGGCAAATTGAACACTAAAAGAACAGCCAAAAAGAAATTTGTCAGACATTGACAGAAACAGACTTTTTTCTATTTGTTGAAATTTTACCTTAAAAAACGAAAACAAGGTGAATTGTAAATAAAGAACAAAACTTAAAGTTTCTATAGACAGAAATCGAAAAAAAATTTCCTTCGCTTAAATACTTCTTTAAAAATTCCTCTACGTTTAAAGCTGTTGTTTTCAATTTCTTTAATTTGTGGTTGATTTTAAATTGTACAAATAAAAGAAAATATTCCCGTATTTACTTACCATCAAGTTTTATATTGCCATCAGTTTCGCCTAATGAATTTTTTGCTACGCATCGATAAGTACCAAAATCATTGGGACCCACATTACGTATTTTTAATTTCATATATTTGGTATAGCCATTAACCGTTGAAGTCGTTTCATATTTGTCACCGGCACGTGAGGTATCTGTAGAGGAAACAAAGTAAAAAGATATCAAAAATCAAGTGGTGGAAACGTTATTTTCATTGAATTGGAAATGGAAGATATTGTTGGTAGTAAATTTGTTTATAATTATGGGAGAAATGTAATGGGTTTATTTCCCTTAAGGATAAAGAACTTTTGTAATATGTTGTACTTTCTTGGAATAAAATCATTTCCGGTTAAAAGTTTGCGTAATTATATTCAAGTCATCGTCTAGTGATAGTCTAGTCATAGTCTAGTCATAGTCTAGTCATAGTCTAGTCATAGTCTAGTCATAGTCTAGTCATAGTCTAGTCATAGTCTAGTCATAGTCTAGTCATAGTCTAGTCATAGTCTAGTCATAGTCTAGTCATAGTCTAGTCATAGTCTAGTCATAGTCTAGTCATAGTCTAGTCATAGTCTAGTCATAGTCTAGTCATAGTCTAGTCATAGTCTAGTCATAGTCTAGTCATAGTCTAGTCATAGTCTAGTCATAGTCTAGTCATAGTCTAGTCATAGTCTAGTCATAGTCTAGTCATAGTCTAGTCATAGTCTAGTCATAGTCTAGTCATAGTCTAGTCATAGTCTAGTCTAGTCTAGTCTAGTCTAGTCATAGTCTAGTCATAGTCTAGTCATAGTCTAGTCATAGTCTAGTCATAGTCTAGTCATAGTCTAGTCATAGTCTAGTCATAGTCTAGTCATAGTCTAGTCGTAGTCTAGTCATAGTCTAGTCATAGTCTAGTCTAGTAGTCATAGTCTAGTCATAGTCTAGTCATAGTCTAGTTATAGTCTAGTCATAGTCTAGTCATAGTCTAGTCATAGTCTAGTCATAGTCTAGTCATAGTCTAGTCATAGTCTAGTTCATAGTCTAGTCATAGTCTAGTCATAGTCTAGTCATAGTCTAGTCATAGTCTAGTCATAGTCTAGTCATAGTCTAGTCATAGTCTAGTCATAGTCTAGTCATAGTCTAGTCATAGTCTAGTCATAGTCTAGTCATAGTCCCTAGTCATAGTCTAGTCATAGTCCTAGTCATAGTCTAGTCATAGTCTAGTCATAGTCTAGTCATAGTCTAGTCATAGTCTAGTCATAGTCCTAGTCATAGTCTAGTCATAGTCAGTATAGTCTAGTCATAGTCTAGTCATAGTCTAGTCATAGTCTAGTCATAGTCTAGTCCATAGTCTAGTCATAGTCTAGTCATAGTCTAGTCATAGTCAGTCATAGTCCTAGTCTAGTCTAGTCATAGTCTAGGTCATAGTCTAGTCATAGTTCTAGTCATAGTCTAGTCATAGTCCTAGTCATAGTCTAGTCATAGTCTAGTCATAGCTAGTCAAGTCCTAGTCATAGTCTAGTCATAGTCTAGTCATAGTCTAGTCATAGTCTAGTCAGCATAGTCTAGTCATAGTCCTAGTCATAGTCTTCATAGTCTAGTCATAGTCTAGTCATAGTCTATCATAGTCTAGTCATAGTCTAAGTCATAGTCTAGTAGTATGTCATAGTCTAGTCATAGTCTAGTCATAGTCTAGTCATAGGTCTAGTTCCTAGTCTAGTCATAGTCTATGTCATAGTCTAGTCATAGTCTAGTCATAGTCTAGTCATAGTCCTATAGTCATAGTCTACTCGAGTCTGGTCATTGGCCTAGTCTAAGTCTAGTCTACCTCCGAGTCTAGTCATAGTCTAGTCATTGCCATGTCAGTAGTCCTAGTCAGAGTCTGAGTCTTGCCCTAGTCAGAATCAGTCATAGTCTAGTCATAGTTTAGTCAGAGTCTGGTCATTTCCTAGTCATAGTCTATTCATCGATGCTTATATGGACAGTTGGATAAAATTGTTTAATTTACGACATTAAAAAAATTGTTTTTTACAAACTTTCCCATTTTTCGAATGTCTTAAATTTGTATTTTAAATAAAAGTATTAGTATACCAATTTAAATTTCTGGCGTAATCATGTTGGAAAAAGAAATCAAGAAATAAATTAAACTACAAAAAAACGGCAAAAGTTTTTCTATTTTGTTAATTTTTTTCTTTTACTTTTTTTCTCTCTAAATTTTTATTTTAATTGAACTTAAAGTGTCGACACTAATTCAAACAAACAGTTGAATTGTATTTGTTGTACAGTGTTGTACAGTGCCTTAAATTTTTACCAATTCATGTTCTTAATTGTTGTTGAAAATTTGTACTCGTTCTCATATACAACAAATTAGAAAAGTTTTACCATTAATCAGTATTAGTGCATAAACAAGAAAAAAAAATAAATGCTCTCTTGCACACAGGAAATACATACACAGACACGTATACACATTTAGAAATAAATATGTATATATAAAAATATATATAGAAAAGGAAATGAAAAAAGGCAAATAACAATTATTATCAGAAAAAAAATACTTGCAAAATAAACAAATTATGTGCAAACAACAAAAAATTTCTTTAAAGAACAACAAAAAATTTTAAATATAAATAATAAAAGTTTGAAAAAAATTGTGATTATAAGTATTGTGTATAGAATATG